GTATAAAAATATATCGATATTTTTTTAAAAACTCGATATATCGCCCAGCTCTACTAAGAAGTACACCTACGTGTTGAAATACAGCAGGAGGTTGAGCTGATACCAAAGAGTTTAATTTTGGCTTCATCTCCCTGGCCTTCTATCAATCATTTCACAAAGCAAGATTTCAGTCCATTACGTAGTGTGTTTATAGTAGACCTGGACATACTTCATCATAAACCAATGTTTCTAGGATGTTTGTGAACTACTTTTGTGTCTATGTTCTTAACATGATGGTGTTATCAGTGATGTTCTTGGTGATAATGGTCTTTTTATATTTTTTCCATTTTCTAAATAATCACAACAACCAACTACACTGAACTGACTGTGGTATCAGATCAAAACTTTGAGGATCAAAAGTCAATGAACATTTCAGTTCATTTCAGTTTAATCAACCCTTAAAGAAAGTCTTTGTGTGTACCGCAAGTACTAGAATTGACCAAAAACTCTACAAATGGTCAAACTTGTGACTACAAATTACAATCAGTGTTTATAATTTGTGGACAAACGGTGTTAAATGAAATATAGAGCAGGAAATACGCAAAATGTCCTGAAAAGGACTATGCTATTATTGGCAAGTTAGGTTTCTTGGTAGTTAATAATAAAGTAACAATCACAATACAAAGATGAGAGTTGATAAAAAGCATTTTTATAGCAACTCAAGGGGCTTCATAACTAAAACATTAACAAAGCTGTATCTCCACACTGTTGTCCGTGTAAGTAATTATTTATGAAAGAACGGTATAGATAAAACCAAGAAACTCTAAAATGTAAAAAGTTTTATGTTTGCCTGCTGTAATTCATGTATTTTACTTTGATATTTTGAATTTTAAAAGGTCACAGAAAGTTAGTGGCTGCTCTCCTAGATGCAAAGAGTAAAAGATGCACAACTTCCTGTAGGTAAAGCCAGTGCCTGCAAAAGCAAAAATGTTCCACTTCAAAGTTTGGGGAAACTACTGACACTCGCCTTGGAGAAATGTTTCCCTAAGTCTCCCCAAGTTCCCCATGTCTGGCTGAAATGAAGCAAAATTGTCAAAAATCCTTTTAAAAAAACTTTAAAAGTAATTAATACAAGAGTCTATAAATATGTGAATGTCACTGTATTTGCTTAAAGTATTTGCTTTAAGATTAAATATAGACCTGAATGTAGTGGTAGATCAAAAGTCTGATTATCAACAAAGTCATCAGGCATTCTGGGACCATGCTTTTTCACAGTTTAGAACATTTAGACCAAAAACCAAAAATGATATACCTTTTATATTATTGCACCAAAATGTCAGAACTGCTTTAAAGCAGGGTTGAGGTTGATCATAATCCGCAGTTCATGTCAGAACCCCAGAATTATGCTCTACTGATGTAACAACATCAGTAAACTATTTCAGAAGGAAGAGGAGATGGAGGAATTGTTGATAAACAAGTGGCAACAAAACTGCACATGAGCACCAACATTTGAATAAAAGAATCAAGGTTCTGGATGAGCTTCTAGTTAAAAACAAACAAACAAACAAAAAACTGTGGGAACATACTTTCATAATGGTGGAAAAAAGACAACAGCTGTGAAATGCAACTCATTACAGCAAGAGGCCAATGTATCAGAATATTTCATCTAAAAGTCTTAAAAGGCTATGTCCCCACCAGAGCAGGCGAGATGTGCTGCTGTGCATCTGTGACAGTTCACTAAAATAAGTGATGCACGTTAAAAAATTACAATGATGGTGCCGATGAAATGTTCTGAGAAAAGGTCACCTAGAGTGCAAACAGAAAGCCCAGAAAGAAAAGAGAAGACAGAATGCTTCTATTTCCTGGAAACTGTTAATCAAAAATACATCAAGTGATGCCAGTATTAGTACAATGATTTCAAGAGAGGGTTGTACACAAAGCTGAATATGGAAAAACAAAACATTTCCTGTGAAAAACCAAATTAAAACTGAAAAAAGGAACAAAACAAAACAAACAAACAACAAAAAGAAATAAAATGCAAAAAAAAGCTTTTTTGCTTTAGGGGTAAAAGTATCTGAGGTAAAATAGATTCTCCAAACTTACTGCTTTTTTGCTTTCCTTTTTTTCTTTTACTGTTGCTTTATTCAGTAGAGAGTGGCAAGTAGCCTACAGAACAGAGATGAGCACAATATGGTCACAGCACCAGCTAAACAGACACACACACCAACACACACACACACGCGCACACAGGTAGCATAGCCCTAACCATATAAACATACATTTTTATCTAGGAAAGCACAAAGAAAAATAAAAAAATGCCGTTTCACTGCTCAGGGCACATAAAGCGTGTTAATGCATGCACTACCAGTCTTTTACTTTAGCAGATGGGTGTACACAAATGTGTGTATCTACACACTTGTGACACGATATCCAAGGTGGAGAACAGGAAATGAAATATATAAGCAGATACAATAAAAATCAAAGACTTTTTGTGTGTCTCTGAATCATTTTAAATCATAAAAGCTGAGACAAAGTTGTTGTTTTTTTCACTTTTTGATTATGAGTGGAAAATACTATAGTGAGGGTATGTTGGCATATTCTGGATTTCAGACAGAACATCTGAACTCAAATATAACTGAAAATTGCAATTAGATAATATTATTTGGTACATGTCTTTGTGATAAAAAGCAGTCAGTTGTCATTCTCCCATGATGTGATCACACCTAATCCACTGCTTGATTTGGCCTTGAGAGATATTGTCCTCCATCTCTAATTGTCTGTAGCACCTTCAGTTATTCCGGTTTTCTCACACAATCCAAAGACATGCATGAGATTAGGTTTAATGGCAATTCAAAACTGGATATAGGTGTGGATGTGACCTGGTTGTCTCTATGGATTAATCCGGATACAGATTGCGACCTGTCCAATGAATGCTCTTAACCTGTGACAAACTACAGCCCCCATGCTACCCCAAAGTGGAAAAGCTGAAGAAAATGAATCAATGAATGGAGGGATGAATGGTAAATTTATATTTTCAAGCAATCAAAAGTGGCTACATTCATAGAGGAGCGCTGGTGGTGGCAAAGTCAGACTTATTCCAGATGCTTGTGTGTTGATCGTCCCAGCGAAAGAGCACAATTGCCACTACATCTCCTGAAATGTTGTGTTATTGTCCTGTAATTTAGTGTTTTTTTCTGTTTTATATTGAGTTGTGCTCTCTACTTTGGGTGATATTTGATTCTCTGTCTACAGGTCTCCAACTGGTGGGCTCCACTCATGCACTGGCCTATCGACATGTCAACTGCTGATTGGTCCGTATCTACAGCTTCATCTTCTTTTGGTTGCCCTTTTGAAGGGTTGATCATGTGCCTACACCTCACCCTGTCTGTAGCATCCTTTTCTGTCACACTAACCCTCTGCATGTCATCCTACACTACTATCCTTGAACCTCCTCTGAGGTTTTCCTCTTCTCCTGCACACCTGGCAGTCTTTGTCCAAGATACCCACTAGCCCTCTGCAGGTTTTTAAAACATCTCAACCATGCTTCTCTAACGTTCACTCATCCTGAGCTGTCCCTCTGATATAGTCCTTTCTAATCTTGTCTACTCTGGTCACTCCCACTGAAACCATAACATCTACAACTCTGCCATCTTCACTTCGAACCTATTTTTGTTTAGTGCCACTGTCTCCGAACCATACATCATAGCAGGTCTCTACCATTCCTTTCCCACCGTGTGTGCACCGACCTCAACTCCTATATCTTGACCTATCCTCCCTCTTACTGAAATATCTGTTGACTACAGCCATCCTTTTTGTAAAATCCACCACCATCTGCCATTCTCCATTCCTCTCCATAACACCATACCCACCAAACATCTGTGTTTCGTTTCCCTATATGTCCACCGAAGTCTGTTTTAATCACCAATCTCTGCCCCACCTGCTCTGTATCACCTTAACCAACTTACTAACATGTCCTCCACCTCCAAACCTCTGATTGTTCTGCGAGCATTTTTTCTGGAAAAACCCAGAAAAAGGGTGCAATTTAGACTTTTAATGTCCTACTCTCCACCCACACCAGACACACTCCCACGCAGTCCTCCTAGATACTAAATGCACATCACCGAAAGTAGATGACACATCAGTCTGCAGACTGGTTGTCAAGTGGGCCAAAATAGGAGAAGTATCTACAGCTACAGTGAAGTTAACTGGAAATGGGAGAACCAAAAAAACTTACTTGTGTTGTGTCTTTACTTGTGTTGGTATAGTGACCAACAAAAGAAAAGCTTGCGTCACAACTGCTCTAACGCCCCCTTAATTGTTCCCATGAGCTTTAAAACAGTGGTTCCCAAACTTTTTTTGCTGGGTCCCCTTTGTTTTACAAGACCACCCCCTCCAACCACAAACACCCACATATTGTTTTCAAACTCCAATGCAATTAATTTCACACCTCAAACCTTTTGTAAACAATTAAATAAATAAAAGTAAACTGCAATAAATTACAGGTAGCAATAAAATAAACTATCCTTTTACGTTACGCTCCCACCTACACAGGTATTTTTAGAAAACAGTTTTTTCTATGCGTTTGGGCCTGAAAAACTCCTGCCAGGGTGGAGATTTTCGAAAACTCCGTTTTTGCGTTTACGTGTGGATAAGGAATAGTCACGCAACATCAAAGGTGAGCGCCTTTTATGACGTCACGCTGTGCGCCATGTTATTGTTTACATGAGATGAATTTCTACAATGGCAGATAGAGACAAAATACTACTGCTGTTAATCTTACTGTCTGCAGTTTTTACACGCTTACACACACAGTTACTGTTCCTCCATTTACAAAGACAGAGGCATCAGAGTGAACTTCAGCTGTGGCTTCTACATTCAAAACTAATTCTTCCGGGGATACCTACCTTGGCACCACTATTGTGCAGGTGAAGCTAAAAGCAAGATATGCTTCATCATATTTTGTAGTCTTTGGTTTGGAAACATATTTGGCGTCGCTTCATCTTCTGCTTTGTGTTTGTGTGGGAGCCCCGTCAAAAACCTGTCCACTATGCTAGCAGTGTCCAAGCCTTTCCTGTTGGGTCAGCTGGGTTAAACCACAACAGGAAAAAAGACTGGTGGCAGCAATCGGTACCCCTCAGCCTCCTTATAGATATATTTATGGTATAAATTTGAAAGTCCTCCATGTTTTGTTCCCAAGTTATCCCATTCACAACCTTGGGTGTCAACGTTGCTTGCTCGCCCGCATGGCAGGGTGACAACAATACCTCATTAGGTTTTTAGGGCTGAGCATTAAAAACTGACCTAGCATAAAATAAAAACTGATTAAAAGCAAAAAGTGAAAACCCATGGGTACGATTATGTCTAAGGATGTACACAACTAGTTGACTAATCATTGCTACTGTCACTAGTCTCTAATAGACTCCCTGTATTTCTGCTTATCCGGGGCTGGGTCATGAGAGCAGCGGCCTAAGAAAGGAGGGCCAGACTTTCCATTCACCAGTAACTGCCTTCAGCTTACCCGAGGGAATACAGAGTAGAGCAGGGCAATATGGCCAAAAAATATTTATCACGATATATATTTGAAAATTTGCGATAACGGTATAACTGACGATCTAATTGACCCGAGACAAAATACTTTACTACTCCACAACTTTATTAGTGGAAAAAAGAACCCATCAACGTATTTTCACTTAAACAAGCAGCTGTTTTTTTTATGTGCATTAAAGTTATATAAATATTTAACAGTGCAAATGCAATTCCTTGCTGACAGTTTAACCAAAAAGCATTTCCAGTGGAAATTGGCCGACATATCCTCAGCATAACCATGTATAATATCCACAAAACTCAACACACAGTGCGGTAATATTATGTTGAAGCACAGTACGTATCACTCCGTGTGACTCCTGACGACGGTAGCCGTAATGCTCTGCTTTCGAGCGGTGCGGCTTTCGTACTTAAGCAAAGTTGCACTAAAACATTTTTTGACAGATTTTTGAGCGCTGTGTACCAAATAAAATCAGCTCGGTAATAATGGTAATAATGATGGTGCGCTTGCTTGCTCTACTAAAAAATCTGCTTTGGTGTGTATCTGACGGACGAAAGCTAAACCAGTTCCACACCACTGAAGTTGCAGCATTTTGACAAACCAATTCCGGTTCATCTGTTTCATTCAACGATCCGCTTTCGCCCTGACACGCCCTTCTCATTCTCCGTCACCGCCATGCTTTTTCTGCCATGTGCGTATGAAAACAAAGGTACTGTGCATGTGCGTTTTACCCATATTTTATCGCGATATTTCATTTTCTTATCATTGCCTAACATTATACCAGTATTACCGTGAATGGTATGATATGGCCCAGCCCTAATACTGAGCTGTTCCCAGGCCAGCAAAGAGATCTAGGGTGCGTTCCAAAAGTACCTCCTATTTCCCATTTCTAGCCTCTTTTCCTTGACCTTGATGAAAACACCATTCTAGGAGAAAAGCCGTTTGAGAAATGGATGTCTGCATTGTGAAACTATGATATGCAAAAGACAGACTACAAAACAAACATCTTACTTTGCTGTTTTACTGATTTCAAATTTCAGCCCTTTAAAAATGTAGCATTATCTTTTGATGTATGGCTTATAATATTACAATATTATAATATAATATAATATTCCTTTAGATGCCGCACTATAAGGACATACAGATACAGCCAGTCAAAACTGCCGCTTTTAGCCAGAGGTCAGCCGACTGACTGTTGACCTTAGGGCATTTCTCTTCGCTACTAAAAACACGCCCGTTTTACTCAATATCACAGTCACCAAGAGATGGCACAAAAACCTGACCTGAATAATTAGCTTCAGATGATTTTCTCTGTATTATTGTGGGGTTTCTACCTTATGATATAAAGGCCACTGTTTTGAAGAAATAATAAATGTATAAATAAAACTGATTTGAATTTCACCATTTCACATTCTTTGATAGCTTTGGTTGTAAATCTCTTCAGCTATTAAAATTATAAAAACTTAGTTTAACCATTGTTAAACAAGGTTTTGGTAATTTATACTTAAACTTAAACTATTTCTAGTAAACAGTTTTTCATTCATTCATTAATTTCAATGTAATCTAATAAAGAGATACAATTTAAAAGAAAATTAAATCCAGACAAATAATATTCTTGCACACAAGCTTCTTCATAGATCCCAAGCCTTTAAATAAATGTGCCTCAACACTGCTCCACCTGGTGGATACACTAGAGATTACCACTGGTTTTCTTAACTGCCGCTTAGGGGTATTGCTACTCATGGTTGCATCAGCCACGTCACAGGTGGGGGATGATTACAGTCACCCACCAGCCAGCAATCAGTCAGAATCCCATCAAGGTCCTGTCAGGGATGAGGTAGCCACTTTAAGTGGCTGTATTTGTACAGTGGTAGAATTCTTGGCAACAACGGTCGGATGCATGTTCCACTTTTGATGTAGCTTTACTGTCACGAACACTGCACCTATCACAATATTTGTATCATCAATTTAAAAAACAAAACAAAAACAGATTTAACTCTGTTATATTCTGCCAAGTTAATATGACACTCCTGAGTCAGTTTAATAAGATAAAATTAGTTTTGACGGTACTAAAAATAATATTCATGAATCTAAATTCCATTATGGTACTCATCCCTGATACCCAGTCCAGTTTACTGTATGAAAGTAGCTTATTCAAAATAACTGCTCTTTATTCAAAATAACTGCTCTTTATTCAAAATAACTGCTCTTTATTCAAAATAACTGCTCTGCTTAAACAGTCGAGCTCATGTACGGGTAAAGCAGGTTTACTGCTGAGATGATTTGTAAATACTTTCCTGGGGACAAGAGGCTCATGAGGCTGTAAAGTTAAGGTACTACCATGAACTGCAAAGCCAGCAAGTTTATCTGCCTTCAAGACTTTGATTTTCTGAATGAAATTTTGACCCCTCTCTCTCAACCTAATTATAACATATCTCCAGATCTTCACTGCTTCCTCCAGCTCTTTCATGGGACAGCAAGGCGTTCCAAGACGGCGAGATGTAATCTCGCCTCCGTGTCCTGGATTTAAACTTGGTCTGCCTCAGGGCCTTCTCCTGGGGAGACATGCCCAGAAAACCTCACCCAGGAGGCGCCCACGAGGCATTCTGGTCAGATGCCGGAAAAAATAAATGATGGCAAAAAATCTCCCAAAAGAATCTTTGTTTCATTGAAAGCGCTGATAAAATAAAGACAGAGGAAGTGTAGGAGTGTGCAAAAGATTTTCTTTTACAGTGATTCGATCAAACAAAAAGAATCAAATGTTAACTTAGATCATGACAATGAAAAAGGTGTGATCACAGTTTTTGGGTTTGTTTTTTGGTTTTTTAAATGCACTCAAATCTGTAGTTACTGAAAAAGTAGTTCGGGAGAAATTTCACTCAGTTTTACTCAAAAAAAGTAAGTCTGGCTTATACCAACTTAACTTGTTTTTCCTAGGCCACACACTGCTTTTACTAGTTTTTACCATCATGTGTTCTCTACTTTTATGTTTTATTTTATCTGTATGTTTTCTAGTTAACAACCCCAACTGCCCTCACTACAATATTACTCCTGCTCAGGGGAATTTTAAATAATTTCATAGGTGTTCAGTAATTTGAACTACAACATAGCTCTGAGGAGCCTGTATCATGAATGCTCAGTGGTTATAATCTCTCTTCATTTAGTGCATGCAATTGATGGCACCAGGAGTAGCAAGTTTTAGTGTTTATATTCAAAGATTTTTTTAGTCTCTAATTTCTGAGTGGATGTTCATGGTAACAATTTTGTCACACAAAGATGAATGCACTGTGTAAATACAGTCAAGCCCATAATTATTCATGGCAAATTTTGACTTGACGTTACTTTTATTCATTAATTACACAGGTGTCTCCCAAAGACAATAAGAGGATGTAAAAGAGGCATCATTGTGGGGGAAAACAATATTTCTGAGCTCTTATTTACATTTGAGCAAAAAGTGTAATGTCCAAAATTATTCATACCCATCACAAACTGTCACAGTCAATCTGAAGTTCTATACCATTCCAAACAGTCCAAGATGTTCTACAGCATTCTAATTACCCTGATGCATTGAGAACAGGTGTTTTAATCAACTTAACAGGTGAAAAACAGCAGCTCTTTGCAGTTGGCTTGTGGACAGTCATGACTAAGACAAAGGAGCTCAGTGAGGACCAGCAGCTGCGCATTGCGGCTGCTCACAAGTCAGGAAAGGGCTACAAGGTTATATCTAAAGGTTTTCAAGTTCCAGTGTTATTAAAAAAAATACAAGATGTTCCGCAGTGTGGAACATCTCAGAGGACGTGGTTGGAAGTAACACCTGTGCTGGCCAGGAGGATGGTGACAGGTGTGAAATAGAATTTCAAGGATCACCACCAAGGCCATACTGGTGAATCTGTGCTCTGCTAGTGGCAATGTCTCAAGGCAGACAATCCAACGGAAACTGGACAGTGCTATGTTCCAGTAATGCAGACCAAGGAAGACGCCACATCTCCAGAGAAGGCACACAAAAGCCTGCTTGGCCTTTGGAAATGCTCATCTGGACAAAGAAGCGAGTTCTGGTCTTCTGTGTTACAATCAGATGAAAAAAAAATTGAATTGTTTGGACACAATGATGTTTCCTTCATTTGGCATAAAAAACAAAACAAAAGCAAAAAAGGAGAAACCTTTTGCTAAGAACACCATCCCCTCTGTCAAACATGGTGGTGGGAACCTAATGCTTTGGGGCTATGTTTCAACCAATAGACCAGGGAACCTAATCACAGTAAATGGCACCATGAGAAAAGAGCAATACAAGAAGATTCTCAACAATAACATCAGGCAGTCTGCAGAGAAACTTGGCCTTGGGCACCAGTGGACATTTCAGCACAACAATGACCCAAACCACACAACAAAAGCGGTGAAGAAATGGTTAGCAGACAAAAACATTAACGTTTTGAAGTGGCCCAGCCAGACTCCTCACTTGAAACCAATTGAAAATCTGTGGAGGGAGCTAAAGATCAGGGTGATGGCAAGAAGACTCTACAACCTGAAAGAGTTGGAGCTCATTGCTAAAGATGAATGGACAAAAATACTTGTAGAGACACGCAAAACACTGGTCTGCAATTATAGGAAGAGTTTGATTGCTGTGATCGAGGTCTTTCTATTGATTGTTGCGTGGGGTATGAATAATTTTGGACGTGACACTTTTTGCTCAAATGTAAATAAAAGATGAGATTTTTTTTCCCTCCAAAATGATGCGTCTTGTACATCATCTTATTATCTTTTGGGAGACGTTTGTGTCATTTCTGGTAAAAAAAAAATAAAAAACTAAAAAAAAACACTAAAAAAAACTAAAAAACTTGCTGATTGAATAAAAGTAACTAAGTCAAAACTTGCCAGGGTTATGAAAAAGTATGGGCTTGACTGTATCAACAATCCTGCAGACCATAGTGTTTTAATGTGGAATATCACATGGATTCATGTGTGTGATTAATACTTGCTATGCTTGCACACACAAACTGCATTTGCAGCCACTTTCCTACTGAGGTAGGAATTCATAGTTCAGTCAAATGCAGAATATTACATCCAGCTAACATGGTCACAGGCACTGTGTGTTTGAACTGCAGTACATAGAGAACTCGCTGGTTCTGCTAGCTTGTACTTGGCAGTAGTGCACACTGCCAATTACGTCTAGCACAAGCAAGTTAACTGATTAATAGAAAAGAAATTACCAGTTTTAGTTCAGATTAAATCAAGAGAATCAAAAAATATCTGAGGTCAAGATGAAAAAGGAAAAGACTGTGACCAACAAAAACTGTATAAAGTTTTCAGATAACCTTGCTTTTAATTGAAAAGAATGACTAGTGATCCTGTTAGATGTCAAGATGGCAAAACCTTAAAAAACAAAAAAAACAACAACAACAAAAAAAAAGGCTCTGCACTAGAATCATTGCAACGTGTTCCACCAAATCTCAAGCTTTAAAGGATCTTTGAAAGGTCCTAACTTATGAGTCAGGCAGTTTAAAGTTCTGTATAGTTGTGCACTGATTCATGTTATGTAGAAGCAGTGAATCAAGCGGCATCAGGCGGCCTTAGAGTGAAGAGGTAGGAGCTTGAAATGTTAAAGTGACACTATGTGCACACAGGCAAGAGCAGACAAATTGAGTGAGCAACTCTGGACTCATGTTGGAGTGAAAAAAATCAGGGGTCTACCTGGTAGAGACAGTGGCAGACACTGCGGAGCTGTGGGGGAAATTCGCCTGATGAACTAATGATGGCCTGAAAAAAGCGCTCAGTGATTTGCAGCAGGTTCCTCTGGTTCTCTTCGAGGTTCTCACCTTGTTCCAATCTGATGACAAAAAAAACAAACAAAAAGAAAAACTCAGTTCTATTAGTCTTTCAGTTCTTGTGACCATATAGAAATAGTGGGCAGCACTTAGCTGACACATGCATCCAACACATAGTTTGTGTTTTTTTATTTGAACCAGTTCCAGTGACTAAACTATGGCAAACGGGAACAAAAGCCAGTGTATGGCAGCACAAAATTCGTAATGTATGAGAAGAAATTTGCCAGTGGCTTGCAGAGGAAGCTCCTCCTTGTGCATGCTATAATTTTGTTACCACTTAAATTTCTCCAACATCTGCTACCTAGGCCATTTCTCAAAAGGCATTAAGAAAAAGAAGGGCTTCAGTTTTTCAGTCTAAGCTGTCTGCAGAGATGGAGGTACTAACCTGGTGGGGTCCACCTCAAAGCTAATGTGTTCAGGGGTTGTGATGACTCCTCTCAATAAAGGCTCCAGTAACTTCTGCAGATAGGCCGCCCCGTATACCTGAAAAAAGAAAGAATGACAGCTTAAATCATGCAAACATGTCCTAAGAGGCAGTTACGAAGCATTTCTAAAGAATTCACAAGAAGAGTCAGGCAGGGTTTCTACCTTGAAACAGAAGGTCATTATCTTGCTGGCCAGGCTATTTCCTCTGAAGAGGGTTTGCATGGAGTCAGCTAGCTCCACCTCTTTAGAAAACATATTCCACAGGAGTTGGTAGAGTAGGTGTCGGGAATCAAACAGTGTCACCAGGACTCGTGCTAGTTCATCCTGAAAACACATACAGTAACTATTACATAGGCTTTCACTGTATTAAAGCAACATTATGAGCACACCCATTAATAAAAGCCTCTGAAAGGTCTGTGCAAATGTGTAGTAGCATTATGTTACCTACGACATTATGTCAACATTCAATTTTAAATCCGTTGTTAAAAACAAAAACAAAAAAAAAGCCACACACCCATTGAGACCCTGGAACCACATTAGCTAATGCCATGGCAATGGGCAGCTCTCCTTGGTCTCCCATCATGGTGACCAGCTCTACCAGCCTCTCAAAGCGATCAGCCAACACAGTCTCAGCCAGTGTGTCAAACTCTGTTCCCTGTTGAAGGATCTTGGTCAGCACTTCCATAAATGTGGCTCGAGTCTGAAGATCTTTGTGATAACCGAGACCTGAAAAAGAGGAAACCAAAATGTAAATTTACTAAAATAAACTGCTGGACTTCCTCACAACAGATTCATTTGGCCTTATATATTTCCTTACTTACCAATTGAGTGCATAAGACCACTGTCCACATTAGCATTGAGTAGATTGGACATTGCTAGGATGGTGCAATGTCGAAGGGATGCCAGACGTCGGGACATTCCTCTCTTACGTCCCCCAACTGCCTGGCCTTCATCCTCCACCTCACTGCAGTCATTCAGCAGGTTCATGAACAGAGTAAAGTACCTGCACACCACCAAAAACAACAGCTAAATGAGAAAAGATGGGTTTTCTATAGTCTCACTATGCTGTGCATCTTTTATTTGTATACCTTCACGGGGGTTCACATTTTCAGTGACAAATTTCAGAAAGCCAGTTGTAAAATCATTACTGGAAATGTACTGAATGTGACAGTATTTGGCAAAAACAAAACAAATGAAAAACCAAAACGGAAAAGTAAACGTGGTCCGTTGTAAACTGTATAATTCTGTCTGAAATCAGGCATCTATGACACTGCAATCTGCAGCAGTGGGCTGAACAGAGGTTTGTCTCAGTGTTCAGCCCCATTCCCAACATCAAGGAGACATCCCTGTATTCTCATACAGGGATGTCTTCTGTGGCCATAAGCGGTGATATAAATTTATTCTAAATTTTAACTTTATCAAAAACATCTGGAATGAATAATAAATTGGATAGGTTGAGACTGGCTGTATGAAAGGTAGTCTTGAGCCTAGAAAAGCTGAAGGAGAGATGTGTTCAAGTAAAGCTCCTTCCAACACCATCCAACTGGAGCTAACAACAATGTTCCAATATTTGATGCCCAGCAATAATATATGTTTGGAAGTGACATATCGCTCATTGTTCTAACTAACTATAAGATATTTTCATGTACCCTCAGCTGTCTTTCATGAAGTTTTATGAAGATATGCAGTTGGCAATTAAGGTTGGAAAAGAAAGATTTTTTTTAAAACACAAAGAAATTTAGGAACTACCATATTGCGCCATCGGCGCTTCTGACCACCACCAGTAGGCAACGGGTGAAGTGTCTTGCCCAAGGACACAACGACCGAGACTGTCCGAGCCGGGGCTCGAACCGGCAACCTTCCGATTACAAGGCGAACTCCCAACTCTTGAGCCACGATCCAATGGTGGTAAATTTCATTGACTGGACATAATATGGAAAGGCACACACCTGACTATATAAGATCCCATATTTGACAGTATATGTCAGAGAACAAACCAAGTCATCAAGTTCAAGGAATTGCCCATAGACCTCAGAGACAGTTAGGATTACTCAGGGGTGCTGACTCATTTAAACTAACATAAACAACATCCTGTAACCAGGTTTCTGGTTTCTGACTTTTAATTTAGTGACCTCTGAGACATAAATGGGTTGGTGGTGTAATGAGGGCTTCAGTTTAAGACTAGTCAGCCTGTTTTCACAGCTGCTTCGAGCGCTAAAGGCCTCTATCACATAGGAAACGGCATACTCAGTGCTACACTCTGAAACCCATTGTTTCAGAGAGTACTTGTGCATTGAGCCTAGCTTCCAAAGGCATCATCACTACTAAAGGCTGAGGAGTAGCTAAATATCTTTTTTTGACAGATTTTTGAGCGCCGTGTTCCAAATAAAATCGGTTTAGTAGTAACGACGGCCCACTTGGACGCTCTACCAAAAAATGGTATGTTATGGCCCAGCCCTACTGATTGGTCTCATTTTTCCATTCATAAGTTATTTCTCTCACCTTCTCAGCGCACTCTCTTCATTTGTTAGTACATTTCCATCTCAATCTCTAATCACCTTAACAGGGTGTACATCCTTTCCCGCTCAATCTCTTTGGCTAGCCAACTGATACAAGTCCTTTTCTCCTTCCCCTGAGTGCCCAGCCTCACATACATGATCCTGTCTGACACTCTTCATCTCTAAAATACCATCTCACATCCTTAAACATTGCCCCTGATCAATTTCCTCTTCCTCTGTCTTTGGCCATGATGCATTGCACTTATTGCAGAGCGAGGCTGTACATAGTACTTGTGGCTGTGAGAGCATCAGCATTCAAACATAAAATTTCTGATGATTGTGAACTACTGTTGAGATAAATTAATGATCAAGTACTGTCTTTTATGCCACAGAAAAGGTAAAATGTTGATGTGTTCTTACTTCAAGAAGAGCTGAGATTTCGCCTCCATCAGCTCTACTCCATCTCCCTCCTCTGGCTGCAAAGGAAGACCAGCTAACAGTGATACTACAGCCTCCATACTGGCTTGGTCCAGGTCCCTTAGCATCGCACATTACACATGCATGCATGCACACAAACAGACACACAGACACATATGAAAACAATGAGAAGGGAGTTCATCATTTCCTGACAATACAATGGTTTTATAGCATATATTTAACAGAGATGCACCTTGTCAGGCACTTGATGTCATCATCAGCAGCTTGGTTGGAGGTTCCCATTACCCAGTCTGTCAGATATTCCACCATCTTGTTCCTACAAAACACCATGAGTGAAAAATTCCATTATGTCCAAAGGGGTAATACATTTCTATGTAAATAACAAGCAGAGGGGCAGCGGGCTGCACTATTGCATCGCGGCTTGGTGATGGACGGTGCTTGTTTCAAACCCATTGGCCACCTGGGACCTTTCTGTGTGAAGTCTGCATCTTCTCTCGGGTAGTCTAGCTTCCCCAAACAGTCAGAAGATATTCAAAGGGTTATGTTAATTTGCGAGTCTAAATTGGCCAAATGTGTCAACGTAAGCGTCAATGGTCGTCTGTCTCTCAGTGATACCTGGGGACCTGTCCAGAGTGTACCCTGCCTTTTGCCCTGTGACAGCTGGGAAAAGCTTCAACCCCCCCATCCAACTCTGAATCGAATAAGTGGAAGAAGAAAATCTAAGTGAATAGGATGTGTTGAATTTCTTCAGTTAAAATGCATGTGTTTTTTTCCTCAGTGATGTGCAAGCAAACAGTGTCCTAACTGGTAGCTGCTTCTACTGACCTGAACTTCATCTCCTGGCAGAAGGACAGGTCATCTCGTCTCTCCATCATCACCTCGACCAGCTGGCAGAGCTTGGTTTTGATCTGGATCGCATGGACTACATTACCCAAAATACGCACATACCTAAGGGATAGAGCACAGTTCTGTGTAGCTCAGAGCATATTCGGTGATTTTCATTACAGTTTCCAAAAGCTTCAGAGACAAATGAAATCATAATTCCATTCACTTTGAAAAAAACAAATCTCTCTCACTGACATTATTCACTTTTTAAACACATTTGGATAAGCAAACATTTGATCCTGTTTAACCCTTTAAGACCTACCATAGAACCAAGTCCGCCAGAGCTTATATTATATTTTTACATGCTGTAGTGCCATTTATGGGAGCATTTCAAGTTGCTATACATCAATACAACTGTTATAGCCCAAATTTTAATTATGTCTGCATTAAGTGCATAGTAATTACATAAACTGCAAAAAAGTGCAATAAACTACAAAAAGATTTAAAATCGTTTTTGTTTTTTTCACATATATTTCTAGTTAGAGAAATTTAAGAGGCTTATCCCTCAAAACTGTAAATACAAAAAAGTTGCAC